GGTGCATATATCCCTATGCCTAAGACTGAACAAATTCAAGTTAATTCTAATGGAAAAAAATAACCTTGGTCCATCAACACCCTTCCCTGGCCACAGTGTCTATGGGTATGTTGGCTTAATACAGGGAGAAAAGAGAAAGCATGAAGGCGATGTGTGTGCATGTGTGCTATTGTGCTCGTGAATGAAGATGAATAAGAATGCTTTTTCCTGTCTTCTTCCTCCACAGTATATGAGGCTGTTACTAGGCCACCCTGGAGTACAATCAAGACACATACACACACACACACACACACACACACACACAGAGTATATACTATCCTTATACCCAGAGACATATCAAGTGTATGTTCATTTTACACTAGCTATACACATCCCTGGACATGACCTTCCTGACACACAGACCTGTACATACATGTGTACTCCAAGTCCATGAACAGAATGCTTGATAAATATATACATTTGTAGGTTTTTGCATCAAGAAAAAAAAACACTACCTGTTTTCTTCCTCATCCTGGGCTTTCAGGGTTGGGCAAGGAAGGACATGGTTAGAAAACTAGACCTCTTCTTTCCCATCTCCATCTGGAACCACCTCTGGGCTGGCTCGGGAAGAATAGCAGGACAAGACAGGATAGAAAGAGCAGCTCTCCCATGTCCCTTTATTATTTAAATAATTATTGGAGAAATGATTACTCTCAGCCAGAATCTTAAAGGAGATTCACTGGTACCCTGGCCCCTACTGGGATCTTTTGCATTTAGGGAACTCACCGCTATTGAACTTAGGAGCTGCCCAAACTCTTAGACACAGAACTCTAGCTCTGAAGCAGCAGGAGGGAAAGGTCCAGAAGTGCTGTGTCAGGGCTGAGGCTCCCACTAGGGTCCAGAGCAATGGGGGGCACCCCAGAGCATCTCCACCCCAGCAGAGCCTGCTGCATCTTTGGTTCCAGCCTTGGTCGATCTGAGAGTCTGCACAGTGCAGAGCTGAACACAGTAGATTCTGGTTTCCTAGCATCTGACCATGGGAGCTGCCATAAATACTTTCTCTTCTCTGACTGGAAAGAGGAGGCTCAGAGGGTCCGGATCCTCTTTGGGGCTTGTGCCTTATCTTTTAGGGGGTGTGGGAATCTATTTCCAGATTTTATGGTCCAGCAAAATCCCTGCTAACGAGCTATTCTTCTGGGCCTTTGTGTCTTGGAATGCGGCTGTCCTGAGCATGCTATCACCACCGCCTTTCCGGAGAACCCATCAGCCCTGTAAGCCTTGGTTGGACTTGGTTTCCTCTTTGGAAGCTTCTCTCATGTTTCGTTTATTTATTTATTTGTTTGTTTTTCTTTTACACTTATCTGGTTTATTTTGCTCTCTGAGCCTGGAAATAAAGAAGCCACAAGCAGCCGTCCTCGCCGGGGCCGCTCTGTCCCTCTACCCGAGGCCTGCATCACCCTCTTAGGTACCACGGATTTATGTTCGTTTGCTCGGGTCATTCCGCCTTTTTGGGTTAATTACCTGCTCCTTATCTCCACCAGCGATTATTTTTGATGCCTGCCCTCTTTGCCTCCTGAACTCTCTCCGGTAAAGCGAGAGCGCATCTCCTGCTGCCACTCACGAATTATTTACACCTCGCAGGTGAGAGGGTTGATTTGTTCAGAGGCAGTGGGGCCGAAGCCGGCAGAAGCCAGGGGCTTTCTGGCTGAAGCTTCCAATCTGGCCTCAAATGTCAGTAGGCCAGGCCGGTCTGGGGGCACCTCTGCCTCTAACATTGAGCAACAGCGCCACCTCGTGTCCACTTGCTCCAATGCAATCTGACTGAGGAAAAGCCAGCAGAGGTCCAAGACCGAGCTGAAAGGTGGCAAGTTGAGAAGAAGAAGCCTCTAAAACGATGCGAAGGAGAGAGATTCCCAGGCAGGTAGTTTCCTCTGTTCTTTGGTTTTCTAAATTCTTTAAAGAAACCTTGTGAAAGGTTCCACACTGTCCTCTTTTTGTAACCCCCCCCCCTTCTGTAATAAAGAGACATTGCAAAGGAATAGCTGCAATCTCCGCCATTCAGGCTTTTTCTAAGCTAGAAATCCCTTTGCGCACGAGAATGCACCACCCCATCCGAAGCTCTCAGGACTTTCTGCTCTCAGCACTCTCTGTCCCTCTTACCCGGATGCACAGCCTATTCCACCGCTCCTGCGAGACTTCAGGATGGGACTCTGACTGTTCCAGGCTGCCCCCATCCCTGGTTTGTAGCCCAACCCTAGCGTGCGTGCTCGCTCTTCACCTCTGCTTCTCAGCCAGAGAGATCCTGATCTCCGTGGGCTATAGACAAAACATTCCTATAATCCGATTTCAAAGGAAAGAGTGTCCACCTTATTTAAACCATAAAACAATTAAGCCCAGACGTCTAGCCAGCTCCGCGCGGCTGTTTTGTTCGGCCCCATTCAGAACCCGGAGCAGGGAGACAAACAGGGCCATAAAAGTGGCATTTCTGGGCTACGGAAATGTACCTATCCGCTGCCTTCCCAAGTGGGACAACCTTTGGGGTTTTGTGATTCTGACAAAGGAGCAGAGGAGAGGTGGGAGGGAACATGAGGGGAGAGGACTTTTGCCAGCCCCTCTCCTGGCTTGCTTTCATTTCTCTCCCCAGATGTGTGTTGTGTTGTTTTAATTCACAAATGGAAATGAATAAAATTGAATCTAATCCTGACCTGGATGTGGAAACCGGGATTAAAGAGTGAGCCTTCTCTAAAACCCATCTTCTTCTGGGTCTTACAAGCTCTGAGGCACTCTTTCCAGCAGGCAGGCTTCAGGAAGCAGGCCATGCTGATGGAGAAGGCTTCAGGGCCTTGGAGCAGGGGCGGGGTAGAAGCCGGAAACAGCACTGAGCTCAGGCAAGGAAAGAAGCCCACATCCTGGCTCTTGATGGTCCAGACTAAGGGAGAGAAGGGTGTTTTGGCTTCCATTAAGTATGGAACTTAGGCCAGGGTTACAGAACAGCAGAAAGGCCAAAGGGAAGAGTAAGGGAGTAAGCAAAATATAGGCGAAGCATCTTTCCAAAAGACCAGGGAATATGAGAGCTCAGGAGTGGAAGTGAGGTCTACTAAGCAAGAAAAAATGAATATATTAAAGGCAACCAAGTCTGTTGTTGCCACTTGATTGCCTGCTCCTCAATATCAACAAAACAAAAGTTCCAACCCTTCTCACTTTCCTCCAGTCCTCCAAATTGGAAGAATAGGGCAGGTGACTCAAATAATGGGGCAGGGGCTGTCCCTACAAGTGTCCACCAATGCACCAAGGGATGCTTTGGGGGAGGAACAAATGGAACCCCCAGTTGTATTCTTTTAGATGGTGTCCTCCGGGTAGTGTCTCTGGCAGAGTGGACAGCCTGAGATATTAAAGGGCTATATTTCAAACAGTCTAATTTTAATAGTTTCCAGATTGGGGGATTTCCGAGAAAAGGGGTGCTGGGCTGAGACTGCCCCAGCAACTCTGTCTGCTTCTGATTAGCCTCATGAAAACTGCTAGCTCCAGAGAGAGAAGATTCTAGAGGAGGGTCACCCAGTCCCACTAGGCTGTTATGTACACATCACCACACCTCTGTGCTTGGGGTCCAACAGCCTCCAGAGAGCATCCCAGTCCTGGATAATCCCTAACCAGCTCCCTTGGAACCTGGCTTCACCACTCCCTAGGAGTATTACTTAGCATGACCTCAGTCACCCTTACCAACATTCAAACTACACATGGGGGTGGGGAGAAGTAAGAGAGGAGAGCTGGGGATGAATCCATTGAGAAGAAATTAATTGTTATATTCACTTTGCCCTCCAGTTTCCCCCCTTTCCCACGTCATTATTTCCTCCTGCCCTCTTTCTTTCCTTTCTTCTTCCCTCCCTCAGGTCTTCTTTTTCTTGTATTTTCCTTCCTCCCTTCCTCCCTCTCCATTCAGTACTCAGTGCCCCCTGAGGCCTGCATGGCCTTTCCTCCTAGCTGAGCATCTCGCTAGCCTTCTTTCTCAGCCAACCCTGAAAGCACCACAGCACCAAAGGAACCAGGCAAGAAGCCAGCCTGGGCCTTCACCCAGCACCCAACTTTCATCTTCACCTATCTCTTCTCTCCCATCTCATGTACTCATAAATTACTACAATTAATTACAGCCAGCAAAACCATTCAAGCAGTGTTTCCCCACACACTCCATCAAGCCACTAGGAAACTCACAGGCAGCCAGCCGGGACAGACACAAGCTAGGCCTCTGCCTCAGCTGCCTCCACCCCTCCCCGGGAGCCCCCCTCCCCGTTCTGCCCTGCCTGGAGAGAAGCTGCAGGCATGTGCCCTTCTGAGGTAGAGGGTGCTCCTTCTCTGGCTCCTGCTTCCCTTAGAGCATTCAAGCACGGGGGAAGAGAAATAATGACGAGAACTAGATGCAGTTGGGTTTCTGGTTTTTAAAGTGACTTCGATATATTAACAGAGTTGTTCTACTGTAACAAACAGAAGCACATCACAGGACAGATGCTGGAGAGGGATACTGCGGTGACAAGAACCCTGCTGTACAAGCCTCAGGCACCAGCCTGCCTGTGCAACCTGACCCAGCCGGCAGCACGGTCCGGCCCTCATCCCTCAGCTCTGGGCTGGGAGTCATCATTGTGTGTGTCTTTTTGTACGAAATCTGCCTGTAGAGCTCCCAAGGCCCAGGATCAGACCAAATAGGAGAGAAAGACAGAGACAGAGAGAGAGACATGGACAGAGAGACATAGACAGACAGAAAAAGACAGAGAAATTCAAATACTGGCTTCTCTGAAGAAAGAAGGAAAGAAATCACATTTGTGTGTGTCATTTATTTCGGTTGCGGTTGCGCTGGGGGGAAGAGAATGCCGTTTCTCCTGCCTCCTCCTTGCTGGATAGAACTAACTCTAAACACCAATTTCTCAACACTTAACCCTCCCACATCGCAAGAGTTTGCATTTTTCCCCTTCCTTTTTTTTTTTCTTTTCAAGACGATGGGCTTTTCTCTATCTTGCTCTTTCCTTTTCTTTCGTGCTTTCTCCCGCCTGGGTTGGGGCTTTTTTGTGGGGTTTTTGTGTTTCCCTTGGCTGTGCCGAGGCAGCAGGCTGGGGCAGAGCTTAGGATTGCTCCTTGTCGGTTTTCTCCTTATTCATCTTTTTCATCTTCATCCTCCGATTCTGAAACCAGATTTTGACCTGCCGCTCAGTGAGATTGAGGACACGGGCCACCTCGTATCGTCGGTCCCTGGTTAAATACATATTGAAGAGAAACTCCTTCTCCAGTTCCAGCGTCTGGTACTTGGTGTAGGGGCAGCGCTTCTTCCTTGTGGAACGGGCGTGGATCCAGTTGGCCACGGGGTTGCCTGGGGGGCCAAGCACAGGCAAGGGTCAGCAGAGTCCCCTTCCAGCTCAGGGCTTGTCACTCCACCCCCAGGCTTAGCCAAGCTCCCTAAACTCAAAAATTGAACCTGAATTTGGACAGGTTTTGCTTTAGGCATTTTCCTCCTTTCTCTTTTGCATTCTTCTCCCTCCCCATATCCCCTCCTTGTTCAGTTTCCAACACCTAAAACTGTAGTAAAATTGAAGCTACCAAAGCCCCCACAGTCTGGTCCTCAGCTTCAAGAGTAGTAATCTGAGAATATCCTCATAAAAAGTCCAAATTCCCAACTGTTTCATAGGCCCATAAACGCTTCTCTCTCTCTTGTTTTTTATTTTTATAGCAAGGTCCCTCTCCTCCCCGCTTCCCTCCTCCTCCGCCCCCTCCCATCCTCACAGCCCATGACCAAGTCCTGAAATTTCACAGATTTTTCCTGACCCTGAGAGTCCCTAAACCCTCACCTCTTTCCAGTGTTCTCCCGCTCAGAATTCAACCCTGCTGAGGCGAATTATCAGGGTTAAACCTTCCCCTCTCCTCAGAGAGAGCTGCTGGCCTTGGAGAAAGACTCCCCCATATCTTAGCCCCCTGTTGGTCTCCACTGTGCTGTCCCCCCCACCCCCCCTCCAGCCAGCTCTAGGATGGGCTCTGCAGGAGACAAGCCTCCAATTTCAGGTTTATGGGAGTAGCTGAAGGCAGGGAGGGAAGCCTTCAGAGGGGTATAATTAGGCCCTGGCCCCTTATGGAGCTAGAGGAAAAGATTTCCTGAAGTCTCCTCCTGGGGATCCCCAGACACTTCCTCACACCCAGGGGGCTGCACCTTTCCCCTGCTGTTTCCCCTTCTTTCTTTGACCTGGCATCCTACACCTGCCCCCACCTCTTCACCTACCCTAGCCAGCCTCCCCCTTCTGTGCAACACTCAGACTAGGACTCTCTCTCTCTCTCTCTCTCTCTCTCTCTCTCTCTCTCTCTCTCTCTCTCTCTCTCTCTCTCTCTCTCGTGTGTGTGTGTGTGTGTGTGTGTGTGTGTGTGTGGTTCTTTAATCTTTAATCTGAAGATCCTTCCCCATATTCTTGAGTCCCATTCACAACTCTTTCTCCTGTGGACACTTAAAAGTGGCTTTTCAAGTTTACGGATACTCGGACCTTACTTCTCTCCCACTTATGTCTGGAAGTCTTGGCCTAAGTTCCCCCAGATTCTTCTCCCGAGGGAAAATTCAGTGGACCTTCTGTTTTATAAACCCTAGTGAGATGAAGACCCCCACGCTGGCTGAGAGGTAGGGGTAATTTCTCTCCTTTTGCTCCAAGCATCCTGCCCTGTCCCTTCTCAAACCACAGAGTGAACCTCAGCCCCTCAGTCCAACCCCTGTCCCTGTTTGCATTTTATTTTTTGAAAGTGACCACTGAGCCAAAAAGCCTGAGCTAAGAGGGCGACTCAGCAGTCTTCCTTCAAAACTAACCTCTGGCAGACAAGTCCCTTTGGCTGGCCCTCTCCCAACCTGGCTGCTTGGGCCCCCTTCTCAGACCTTCCTGCCCCTGAGAGCTCCCCAAGGTAATTCGCTTTTATTGAGTCCTCGCCCCCTCGCCCTCGCCCCTCTCCCGCGCTGCCTGCGCCGCTAGGACGGGCTGTAATCCGGCTGCCCCCGCCTGGCCTCCCCTCCCCTCCTGTGCCGGTTGTAAAGGAAAATTGCTCCCAACTTACTAGGGTCCAGGTCGGCCTTCTCCTCTTTGTGCTTGCTGCCGGCCAGCGCGTCCGCCTCGGGCGAGGGCAGCGTCTGCGGGGCGCGGTCGCGCAGCTCCCCGGGCGAGCCGTACATGTAGTCCGGGTAGCTGCGGCCGTCGCCTGGGCCGCAGTCGGCGCGGCGCCCGGGGTAGGCGTCGGGCTTGAGGGCATAGTGACGGCCCCCGGCCGGGAAGCTGGGGAAGGAGACGGCGCCGGACAGCGGCTCGAGCCAAGTCCGCATGTAGCGCGTGTCGGCGCCGAGGTGGGGCTGGGGGCCGTACGGGTGATAGACCACGGACGACTGCGAGGGCACGGGCGCCCACGACGTGCTGAACACGGCCGGCTTGGGCGCGAAGCTACAGGACGGAAAATCACTACAGTCCGGCACCAAGCCGCTGGGTCTGGCGGCGGCAGGGTGAGCCCCGGTGGCCGGAAACCTGGACGCTAGGAGGTCTTCATTGTCGTGAGAGATGAGCGAGTCCACGTAATAGTTACTGATGGGCCCCGTCGCCGACATCGTAACAGGGTTTTACATACATAAGATTATTGTATGAACTGTATATGTACTTTTTATCTGCTCACAGAACAATCAAGGCAGGTAATTATTTTTCCAGCCTTTTCCCGGCAGCTCATTGGTTCCCCAGCCCCCACGTGATCGTATTTACCCAAAAATACGGCGCGGATCAATGCGCAGGGGCTTTTTTTCCCCTTGCTTTTTCCCCCCTTTACCACCCCCTTCTCTCTGCTGATCCCCGCGACCTGCGTTTTCCTGACGACCTGCAACTCTGGACCCAAGGCGCCGGACACCCCACTCCGGATGACTCATATCTCATCAGGGAACCCCCCCTTTGACCATGTGCAGCCAAAAGCAGATGGCTCCCCCTACCATGAGGATTTAAAAAAAAAGGTGAAAATGCCAGTCCCAGAAGCCAGGGTTCCTGGACCCCCAGGGCTGAGCTGGGCTCGGGGAGCCCCATAGGGGCGGGGAGGCCGGACGAGGTAGGTGGAGGAACTATTTCTTGACGTAATCTATCTCTGTCGGCCCCGCTGCTCCTGCAGTCTCTGAGTGAGCAGAGATCTGCGATTGTCAGTTCGGAACGTGGCTTTTAAAAATGCGTTTTTAAATACGGTGTATGTATGTATTTCTTTCAGGAACAGCAGCACAGGCAGCGAGGGAGGGAGGGTGGGAGGGGACTGAACAAACTAGGATGGAGGGAGGGAAGGAGGGAAAGGGGAGAGTTCTTCTGCCACTGGCCAGCTTAGCTCCCCAAATCTAGGGTGTGGGAAGCTTGGAAAAGGTGGTCTATTGGGTGGGGGAGGTAGAACTTGGGGATCTCACACACCTTTATCATCACCTTCACAGGTCTCCTCTTGCTTTGGCACAGATATATAAGCCTTTATTCAAATTTATTGTCTCTGTTTCTTTGCCAGCTTGAAGAAGTCAAGGAGAGAACTACACAACTTAAGTGGGGCATCCCATCTGCCTGCTCACCTTCCTTTGCCCCCAGGTCCATCTCTGTAACACCTCACCCCCCCAAAAAAAGAGAAGTCACTCGGAGGTTCTGCAGAAAGCCAGGGTGAGAACAGGCAAAGCGAGAGAGCGACCTCGGTCGTGGGCAAGTAGCTTGTTTTTACGTCCTTCAATAAAATTTTTATGAGGATCATTTGATTGTTCATAAATGTGTCTTTCATTAAATAAAATTGTAGGCTGTTTTTGGAACAGAAAAAGGCAACGAAGGGATGGGGGAAGGCGATTTCTTGGGGTCGGATGGAAGAACTCTGGAGGTGGCTGTGTGATTGAAAGGAATTATCAGGCAACTTGGATCCCACCCTTCTCATAAGTCGACTGCTGTCCTCCCCCTTGGATTTGGGGTTTGTTGCATGCACAGCCTAGGCTTTCAGCAGACCCCCCATGGTGGTTTAGCAAATGGAAGGCTTTGGGGAGGCAGAAAAATCCTCAGTATGGGTGTAGGAGAGGGGGCAAAGGTTGGTTGCGGGGATGGAGGGACAGGTGCTATCCCTAGAGACATAATGCACCCAGGCAGGGTAGAATTGCATATGAGCAATCAGGGTGCAGTCCCAGGTTCAGAGAGAAGAGTCCATGCGAAGGGAAACAAGACAGGGGCTGAGGCTAGAATGCAAACTCTGAAGGAAGCAGGCTATGTGGCTTCCCAGACCCAGTCAAGTCTACCCTTCTTCCTCTCTCCAGTCCCCAGGACCAGTCCAAAGTCCAAGTCCTACATTTCTCCCCTTAATCTCTTCCAAGCTGGGGAAGTGCTAGAGAGGATGGTATGTGTATTAGGGGGCAAGAAAGTAGGGAAGAGGGTATAGCTGTAGTTCTTAGGAGAGACTCAAGAACTGCAGGAGCCCTCCCCCAATGCCTGTGGGCCCCTCCTCTGGTTCTTCCCTTTTCGATATATCAGGGCTGCATTTTTTTCATTTTTTTATTTTTTGAGGTATGGGGTGGGTTTTCAGGGAAGTGTATGGCTAGGGAAAGGCACTCGAGCCTCAGACTAATTCTTCTCAGCTCTCACTGTCTTTTTCTTTGGGCTGGACTAGCTGTAAATTCCAAATTACAGTAAGAAACAGAGTATCTCTTTGGCCTTGATGTAGTCATGTTAGCTGTCAATCAAAAAATCCCTCTCTAGTTCAAGGAACAGACAGAGGGTTCCAGTTCTGCAGAGGCTTTCTCCAAATCCCCAGTATAATCAGCACCTCCCCCAGCCATGGGTGACTAGGGACCCTGCCTGACTCTTGGGCGATTGCTAGCAGCCTTGAGAACAGACATTTAGTCTTCAGTGGGGGCCCCGGGCCAGACTGTGGCCAAGAGGACATCAAGGGACAGAGCCTAAGAGAGTCAGAGCCTGACAGACCAATTTAAACAGGTCTCCAGGCTGGAGGAAGGAAAAATAGAACCGGAGGGTTAGAATAATGAGGGAGGGAGGGAGGGAGGGAGAGAGAGAGAGAGAGAGAGAGAGAGAGAGAGAGAGAGAGAGAGAGAGAGAGAGAGAGGATATTAAGGGAGAGAAGGAAGGCAAGATGAAGAGACCTAAGAGCAAGGAAAGGAAGGCTCTCAAAAGCTAGGGAGGGAGAGCATGAGGCGCAGGCAGTACAGGGCAGGATGCGGGCTGGCAGAGCCGCCGGAGCAGACATGGCATTGTGCAGCTCTCTTGCTTGTCGGGCTTTGCCGCGGGACCGCTCCGGGCGCGGCGGCCACTTGTCTGGACACAAAGGAGTAAGAGGCCTCCTTTCCTGCCCCTCTGGGAGACCTGCAACGGTGGGTATCCTAGGCCTCCGAGACACAGAATCTGACATTAGCCCAGCCATCACTCCAGCTGCTGGGAGCTAAGCCACATTCTAGTCAAAGAGGCAGAAACAGAAAGGGGAAGAGATACCATGCCTGCTTTGCCCTGCATCTTCACTAGGCAACAGGGCCTGTCTGCCTGTACCTCAGCTGTCCTAAACAGAAGTCCTTAAGAACCCTCTTCTCTGGGACTCTTCTATTTGAGAGAGTCCTTCTTATAGACATCCTGACTGTGATGAGATGTTCCCTTCTCTCCTGCTCCCTATGCATACCGCCTTCGTTTCGATCCCTCAGCAGCCTGCACACCCAGCCTGCCTACCCTGCAGAGACTGCTGCAGCTGGGCAGTCAGAAGCACCACCCAGTGATCCCTGCTGCCGTCAAATCCCCCAGGAAGCAGAAGAGAGACTGTTGCCTTTCCTTCCTTTGGGGATCAAGAACTCCAGACCCTCCCCACTCAGATGCAAGACACAGCTGTGGACTAGGAAGTAGGCCTCGCCCACAGGCCCCTCCTAGCCAATGCCCCATTCAGTCCATGCCTCCCAGAAAGAAGTAGCCTTAAGGAAGGGATCTAGTAGAGACTGGGAGTCCAGAACCCACTAGGCCCAGGTCCTGCCTGTGGATTGTGACTCCCATGTTTCACATTTAAAAACTGTCAGGTCAGCGATGGGAAGTAGGCTTTCATGCTTCCTCTAAATCTAGGCTTGTAAAGATGTGGGGGCAAGGGTGTGGGGACACCAAAAAGGAGCGGTTCAATCTTGGGGTTCAATTACTCCTGCTGAATCTCCTATTCCAGGACTCCCTCTCATCTACACCATGCCTTTCAATTTTCCTTAGCACCACTGGGGCAACCTGAGAGAGCCGGGAGGAAAAACTGTTGGGGAGGGAAAAGCCCAGCTCTAGCTGGCTGTTCTGTATTTACTGGAGTTCTTACCGGTCACCTTACACCCTCAACAGTTTCAGGGGGTTACAGGAGAGGAGTCCCCCTGAGTGGGGAGGGGTACACTTCCTCTATCACCTCAAGCCTGGGCAACTGAGACCACAATCAAGCTACCGCCGTGGGAAGGACAGACAAACAGATAGGTTAGAGTCATCATCCCCCTCCCCCTGCCGAGTGTCTCCCTTTTAATGATTTAAATTCCCTCCGGTTCAATCCACACCGTCAAGTTCGGATTAAATTTAAAACAGGCTTTCCCCTGTGCCCCCAGCGGGCTATTCGGGCCGCCGCAGGCAGAGAGTCCGCTTACTGCTCCACAGCACCGGCCCTGAACCGAGGAGGCCCTGCACCGATGCTTTCATTTTCCTTCTCCCCTGAAATGGGCTCATTTCATCCCTTCGCTGCCCTCTCCCCTTCCCCGCCCCCTCCCTGGTTCCCCTTCTACTCCCCCCCCCATCTCTCCTGATCCCTCTTTGTTGGGAAAAAACACACACACACACAACTCCTCCTAGCTAAGGCCTGCGCTGGAAGCAGAAACTGAGCTCTCCTGCCTGCCGCGAGGAGACCCGCGTACTACCCCCACCCAAGGTGGGTATCTGGGATCCCTGCACACCACACCAGGAGCCAGGCCCCCAAGCTCAGCAAGCGTGAAACCCCCAGGGCCTGTGAACATGGCCCTCTCAACGCCACGGCCTGCCCGGCCTGCCTTTGCGCCGGCGCCCCCGCCCTGCCGCTCCGCAGCAAACGGGGTTATTTCCGGCTCCCCCAACACAGTCTGGTTTTCCAGCCTGGGGAGTGGCTGGAGGGGGAGCCGCCCCAGAGCCAGGGCTGCCCTAAGCTCAGACTCTTAATGGCTCCGAGCACGTTGTTACCTGATCTTTTGTGTGATGTATGTATCGCAAGGAAATTTGCAGTGACTTTGGAGACCAGACTGAGGAAGCGTAGGTGGCGAAATGAGAGACAATACAGGCTCGAAGTACAATTAAGGAGAAGAGCCACGGGTCTCTCCCCCGCCCTCCCTGCCCGACTGGGAGCTGTCTAGCTTCAAACATCAGGGCGACTCGCGAACCTAGAACCGAAAAACTCAGCCTGTGGCCGAGGAAGCCAGAGAACTCCACGTCTAGAAAACAGGACGAAAGCTCCCTTCCAACTTGGGGGTGCCGGCCCCGCCGAGTTGCAGAGAATCCAATGAATGAAAGTACACATTCCGACGACGAATTTTTCTCAGCCTTTGGAAGGAGTGCCCGGGTTTGAGAAGTCTTAGACAGACAGGGAAGCAGCATCTCCCCAAGGCAGACAGACTCACAACATGAGTGTGAGGCTGAAATCATACACAGGTTGAACATTCCGAGGCCTCCTTGCCAGGCCTGGCTGGCGCCGATCTCCCTACCTTCTCTCCCGCCAGGACCTCAGGCAGAGGCCCCCCCCGAAGACTCGGTATCTTAGGCTTGGTCCAATCCCGCCTTGGGAAGCCTCCGTTACCTGTTTCTCGGCTCCCCACGGCCACAGACGCAGGGCAGCCGCCTCCCGCCCAGGGAGGGAAGCCCTGGCCACCGCAGCCGCCGCCACCCGCCCTCCTTCCTCCCTCCCTCCTGCTCCCTCCCTCCCTCCCTCGCACGCTGCCGCTCGCGGGGCCCTCCCGCGGGCAACCTGCTCTGGACCAAATCCAGGTATCTCCGAAAGAAAAAAGAAAGGATCTCTTATAGATAGAGAGAGGGGGGAAAAAGATCTATAACTGCATTTATTTTCAAGTTCTGATCATGGGTCCGATCTTAGTTTAGTTGTCCGGGACACAGCTCAGCAACCGCAGAGGTGTGCAGGGCCTACAGCCTCGCCCATGCTGACCGCCGCGCCCAGCGCACTGCACACTCCCTCCTACTCCGGGCTGCCGCCCCCCCGGCAGCCCAAACACCCAACAGACCTCAAGGTCCTTCCTACAGACTCAACATCCGGTTGCCTAGCTCGCCGCTGACCACAGCCAAGGAGTCTGCTCTGTTCAGTCTGTGGCCGATATCCACACACAGTCCACCTTGTCCCTGCTCTGGTACCCTGCCCGGACACCCCTCCGAATCGAATCCAGCCATCCGCTGGGCTACACTTGGGCAAACCTCGTCCCCAGCAAGGGATACACACAAAGCTCTGTGCGCTAGTCTTCCCATTTATACTCCCCTTGTTCCCAGCTTGCCGCCTTCACGTCACCTGTTCCCAAGAAGGGTTGCATCTCCCAGCGAGTGAGCCGCGGCAAGGCCGACTGGACCGCCGGGGTGAGGTCCCAGGGAGGCCAGAGAGGATTAGCTGGGCTGAGCCTGAGCCTCCACTGCCGGCGAGACGTCTCAGAGACCAAGGCTCTCCTTGGCTAGCTCTTGCCTTTTCCTCCTGCTCCCGCAAGTCTCAAACACACGCCGAGAGTTCAGCTCTATAAATC